CTATTTTTCAAGCATTACTTTAAGTCTCGAAAAACTATTTACATCAAAAAGTAGCTTCATTTTCATTTGGCCAATCTTGTATAATTCAGCTTTTTTCCATCAATTATTAGTTAACGCCAATTTCAATGATATTGATATTTCAATCGACGGCCATGAGCTTGGAAGGCAAACTTTTGCTCAATAATCATCTCTTTAAATATTAGTCGACGTTCTACACGACCGAAAATCATTCTATAAGGGAGAAATGTGGCTTAGTGATTTAGTAAACCATAGGCTAGCGAGAACAGCGCTCAGAAGAAGAGTTCCTCATCGCAAGGAAAGTGATGCCATAGAGAAAATCCCTTCAGCTAGGATGGGAATGTCGGCTTATGATTGATGCCGAGCAGTGAAAAGCTCAGTCTGGTAGGTGCAATGGTAGGCCTGAGTATCAAAATGTGATTGCGAATTGTTCAACATGTGAATGGTTAGGCTGAGAGATAATTATAAATGGTCGTTGTGAAAACACAGAAACTAGTTGAGTAGAAAATCACAACTTTCGACAATTTGTGAACAAGGAGGCCCGCCTGATCACCTCTTACTCGGAATCACAGTAGCCTGAATTGTTGCTAATGTGTACCATTTTTCCGCATGTTGCTTCATTACGCCTAGCATTTGCATTATGGAAAGTCGGTAGGACGAAAGGTAGGATTGTGATCTCCCAGCGATGAAGCATAAATAAAATGTAATCAACTACCTTGTGGCAAAGTTATCACCAACAAGACCTTATTTACTCCACAGCAATTAAGTGACATTGACTAGGTTGACTTCGAGTCAACTCCTCATTACGTCTCGATACGGAATCTGATCTTGACACCGTTTCAACGTTGGTTAATCTACCCAGCTCACCGTCTCTGTCCCCGGTTTCCACCATATTCCCTTATTCGCCTTTCAATCACTTGCATTCATACTGACTGTATCACATATCATTGCTTAATTGTCTTATCGGAACAAACTCTTCCCTACACTCCTTCAACTCTTCATCCTACTTTTCGGCCCTATTATTGATATGCCCAACAATAAAGCTCATATTTACACGTGCCTTGTCTAGCAACAAAAAGTAGCCATAATTTCTGTACATCAACCTATTTTTTTTTACTCGCATTGAAATATGTGTATATACATTAGCAGTAGTAGTTAATGAATCTAAGGTGATAAAAGACTGGTATTAGAATTTTACCACAATGATATGATAAATGATGAAGGTAGTTCTTCATCACCTTAAACAAAATAGGGTGAATACATCTCATATATGTGATTTAGTGGTAGTCTTGAAACTCTGCTTATATACGAAAAATAAGTTGATGAGTCTAGCAAGAGTGTTACTGATCTTCTAATAATATTTTATAGATAGGTACACTCCTTTGAGGGCCGATTTATAGCGATTAACTTGTAAAACGAACGTACAAATTGGCAAATTAAAGCTTTGGGGAAAAAATTGGTTTATGATGATTCCTTACCAGCTTGACCGTTTTCTGGTATATTTAAGGTCAAATAATTTAATATGACAGCAACTCTCAAAAAGATGCTACTCCTTGTAGCCAATAATATGTAGCATATGGACATGATTTTCTAGTCGGTTATATTTCTCAACTATCAGCAATTCTTAAAAAGGAACTCACGCACCTTACGCCGTTTCGACTTCGCCTCTGAACCAAGTTGTCCAGCATACAGTATTTCTGGAGGCAAGGCTTAGGGAACTTCAATGGTAACATAAGGTCTACTAATTTTATTGTTAAAACCTCACTATCGACCCATACATCTTCTTAAGTGGCCTATGGAGACTAAAGTTATACTATTAGCATGAATCACTATAATTCGCACAAGGTGATACTTGGGAGATAGTTGAATTTTTCCCAATTAAGATGAACTGAAAGCTTGAAAGATCCGAGCCATTTCAGCCCGGCTAATCTGTGGTTACGATCTCACCTCACCCTCTTACCACCACCACACAACTTCGGGTTCCAGTGATCACAGGGCAGA